CACAATTTTTTTAAAGGTTTGAATGCTGATTAAAAATTGACAAAAAGTTGATTTGTAAACTCTTTTTTCCAACAATTGTCTATTTGACACCAAATAATAGTTAGTATATTTTAAATCGTAAGTTCTGTCTGTTCCAAATTGATAGTTACGTTTGAAGGATTTGGTAGTATGGGATCAACTATTTAATCCATAAATCTTATTAGACCAACGTCTACTCTAAGCTCATCTTTTCACTTTAATGATGATGTCTTATCATTTCAATCCAGATCGACTCATCTTGATCATTTCGTAAGATAGAGTTTGATCCGTGGAAGAGCAGGCATGCTACAAATAAATTATATAAATGGAATAACCACTATATTATTCAAATTAGGGCCGTTTTTGTTAATATATGCATAAGGAAACAAACTGTAACGACTAAGTTATAAAAATTAGAATATTTCTATTCCGTACTCAGTTATTCATCAACAGCGAACCGGATTTAAGTATTAAAAGTCAGTAACAACGATATTTACGTAGTAAATTTTCTTTACATATTTCACGAAGAAGAGAGAATGTCTGCTCAATATATCGGATGAATCCTGTAATTGTTTTTTTATTTCATCAAATCATTCCAAATATATTAAAGATTCTCTATTCCAGTCTAAGGATAATAGAATATTTAATTAATATAATGTATAACATCATTTTTTTAAACGTCAATCCATTTTTGTACAGAGTTAAGTTTACGCATTTTAGCAATGCTTTGAAGTCACCCTAAATTTTCCCAGCACAATGTGAAGTATCGGTTACCGGAAATTTCGAAAGCTATGAAGTTTCACACAGACATTTGTAAGACTGCTTGCGATTCTCATATACATGATTATTACATTAAATATGAGTAAGGCTGAGATTAATAATGCAATGAGATATAAAGTTAAAATATATAGCTATATATATATAGTTAAAAATTATGTATATAGTTAAAATATAGTTAATAAAGTTAAAATTATAAGTTTAAGAGTCTTATTAGAATTTACAATTGAAATCATGCAAGAATGGCACAATTACTCAGAAGACAAACACTTTGAGTGAGTAGAAATACTTTGATTGAATATAAAAAATATATTTTACATTGTATAAATTCTCTTTTCCACATCCTAAATGTATTTGTTAAATGTAAACAATGTATGTAAATCCCAGGCCCTGAAGATGATCTCAATAAAGATCGAAACGTTGGCACGATAAAGAAAATGTTTTTCTGAAACCTACATCACACCAACCGCATTTCACGATCTCCGAATAATCAATAAATAAAATTAGATTTTTTAAAAATCTCCTATAGATGTTGAAAAAAGTGAATTTATAAAATGCNTGTATAAATTCACTTTTCCACATCCTAAATGTATTTGTTAAATGTAAACAATGTTTGTAAATCCCAGGCTATGAAGACGATCTCAATAAAGATCGAAACGTTGGCACGATAAAGAAAATGTTTTTCTGAAACCTACATCACACCAGACCGCATCTCACGATTTGTGAATAATAATACAATTAAGGTTTCCTTTTTTTATACTATTCAATTATATCAGTATAATACTAAATGTAAAATTATCAAAAACAAAGAAAGAATCGGACGTGATATTTTGTATATTTATAAGCATAAGCACTCCTTACTTTGAAAATATGCAAGTTAGCTTCAAGAAAAGTCAATACTATGACAGTACAAGACATACATCGGAGCTTAAGTTATTAATAAATCTTAATATTCCTCTTCGCTAGACGCGTCTTGGTTATCTATTATTCATTAATAAAACAATAAATTTAAGTCTAAAAAATTTTTCTCAAAAGGATGGTTTTAATATGAGAAGGTCGTGCCCGGGCAGACTCTTTGCCCAACGATGGATACTTAAATAGCTCAAGTCTTGGGAGTGCTGTTCACTACCATCCAAGATAGTCTACCGCGGTTTAGGGAAGCCGGAAATCTCAATTGAAGAGATGGTATTGTCGACCACGAGGACACTTGAACAATGGGTAGCTGTTCTCTTCACAGGCGAGTACCGGTTCGGTTTTTGGAAATCAGATGATGTGGAGAATTCATGGAGGACGCTTTGCTTCATGTGCCACGCGCTATGGAGTTATAGCCATTTTAAACACAAGTCAGCTAGGTTTCGGGGTGTAATCAACATCCACGCTCGTACCGAAGTAATTATGATACAGAATTGATCTTTGACTCAAAAAGTACATTGAGAAGTTCTTCTGGAAGAACGTCGTGTGGCATGATAATGCTCGACTGCATTTAGCTCGAGTTGTCACCCATTACTTGGAGGATGCAGTGCAACAAAATGAATTGGCCGGCATGAATGTCCTATGGGACAGAAAAAGAACGGGTTAGACATCGTTTGCCGCCTCTAAAAAACGTTGAACAGCTTGAAACCGCTCTTCTTGAAGAACGTTGAAGAAAGGTATTCGGTTTCACACGAATAAATCCAATCCCTTATTACTCGATACCTAGGGGGCTTAAGGACCTTCCCTTTTTTTGTACAAGGGTTCGCAACAGCGGAGGTTATATCAACCCTCGGTGGCGTATTTGAAAAAATAAAAAATTGTAAATAGTCGGGTTCGAATGCAGTGCCGCTAGTTTCGAACACGGGACCCTTACTCCTACATCATAGAGAGATGACCGCCGTGTCGACGCCTTAAGAGTTTTTTGTTTTTGGGTGACAATGATAATTGGGTTAGAATAATCGATAGAATAGAAAAGAGTGTTAGTGTATTATCAATAAACTTTGTTTGGTATTAGTTCATTGAGTGTATAAGTAAGGAGGATGAAATAAATAATACACTGTAAAACGTTATTATCTACTAAATTTAGGCATAGGATTGTTAAAGACAACATTGCTTTAAGATTACGTACTAATTAATTTTTTATGTGCTTGGTTAGACACAATTTTAATTTTTATACATAGGGTTCAAAAATTACAATTACAAAAATATAGTTTTACAAATAATATTTCATTGTTTTATTAATACAAAAATTGATTTAAAAGGAGTATCTTTGTCTGAAAATACGCTTAAAAACGTTAGTGCTTACTAAAAATAGATATGTATAATAAAAATCGTTTAAAAGATTCAGATTTTTAGACAAGCTGGTCGTAAATTTCAATTTCAACAAAAATTAATATCTAAAAAAAAGAGGTGCAAATATGTTAAACAAAAAATGGTTTTGTTTTATAAAATCAGTACTAAATATTATAAATATTTTTGAACATTGCAATTACTTTTTCGAGTTCTTTAGTGATTAATCTTGTAAGATAGTTATAACAATGGGATATCCATTACAAAATAGTATCTGTAAAATTTTGGATGTACATTGGAAAATAGAAACATTGTGCTGAAATTATGATTGATTATTTTTATGGCTGCAGAAAAGAGATAATCCTAAGAACATACGTTACAAAACTGATTCGAGCAGAAATTAGACATGACCATGCATAGAACTAAAAGTTTTAAAATTATAACTCATAAATGTATTAACGGATTAGCGGTAATGTTTCTTACAAGAAAGTTAATTGAGGGTTTTCTTAGAAATTATCATTTTCGTGATTGTGTCACGAAATCGTCAATAATCCACTTTGCATATGTCGATGTTATGTCGATACACAGTGCATGCAGTTTTTTCCTAAACTTTCCACTCCATCCAACGAAAGGTCTCGCGAATAGACATTTTCCCTTTTCCTAAGCCGAGAAACGGTTTTTTCCAGATATCATAGATAATCGTTATGAAGTTCGCGATGAAGGTCATCACTAAATATGCCCTCATGTTCCATGATCTTAGTTTATAGAAATATCTCATTTTGAGTTTAACTTAAAATTACTCTTCCATAGAAAATCAAATCGATTTTTTATTTTAACTAACGATTGCCTAATGTTGAACACAAGAGAACAATCACTTTCACTTTAGGATAAAAGATCTACCTCAGAATCAAATCAAATCATGTGGTACATTCTAAAAATTTTTCGAAAGAGTATGACATTTATCTAATATTCTATATTTGCAATCTTCGGGGTAGATCGTTTTCAAAGAAATAAGGCGAGATGTTTAAAAAAGTATAATACAAACTCAACAAAAAAAGAAAAGATTTATATGGGTCGTTGAATTAATCAAATTTTCAAAAAACCAGCTAACTATATGATTTATTTTTTTACAGTAGAAATACATAAAATCGATGAAGATAGTGAGATGCGGCCTGGTGTGACGTATTTTAGAAAAAACATTTTCTTTATCGTGTCAACGTTTCGATCTTTATTGAGATCATCTTCAGAGCTTGGGATATGGCATGGTTTAAATTTTACAAATACGTGGAGGATGTGAAAAAAAAATTTTACAATACTATATTCTCAAAGTTAATTTTATGCAGTTTGGTCGTTGTCGAACTTTTTTTATTATATTGTATTAAAAGGTAATAGATAAGCTTGCAATCATGTATTGAAAATAATGATATGTTAAATATGTTGAAATAATGAGTGATTAAGGGTGTAATAAAATTCTGTGATGAGATTGTTGAAGTTTTCAGTATAGAGGTAAAAGAGAACAAATGCTAGAAAATGGTGAATAACAAATGTTTGCAAATTTTAGATTAAATTTCTTAATATCCCAGACGTCAAAAATGTTAGCCACTAGAAATGGTTCCTTTTTATCACCCACCAAAAAGAAGGATTTTTAGTGAGATATATTCTTGCAATTTATGAAATATGTTGTAAACCAATGATTGTTTGTGATTTTTTAATGCCACCAAGTTGATTCGTTCTGAATATAAGCAAACCAAGGAAACAACATAACGAAATATTTTATTTTACCCTTAATATATCTTTTTAATAAACGTATAATCTGACTAATTACAAAAAGGGTTAGTTTTCCCTGAGGGAAAAGTTGAGGGACGGTATTGCATTGTGTGAGTGGGGACGACCCCCTCCTTCAAAGAAACGGCAGATTCCCAACCCTCTTGCATCAGCATCATATATAAGAGCAAAGGAGGAACTTGGCCGTACAGTCTTGACCCGTGATTCTTGCAAGGATGATGTTCTTAAAGGTAAAGTACAAAATAGTTGTCAATATAAAAAACAAAAGAAAAAATACCGAACGTAACCCACCGGGAAGCGGCTTGGATCCCGTCGGACATCGCAGTTGGATTACTTTCGTTTTCAACTCTACCGGACTGCGACGGGATGGACTAGTGATAATATGTTTCCGCAACATAATCAAAAGTGCCGTACTGATGGAATTCGGCTTAATCGGAGTACGAGGGATTTGTTTTTAATTTTCACGCCTACAGCTCGATCGTTGGTAAATCGATAAACAGTCGTGCAAATTTTAAAGATTTACAACCCGCGAGACTCGTCGAGCTAAGTGGCCCTTCAATTGGTCAATTCAGTTGCATAAAAAAAGCGAAAACCCCTCATTTCAGACTCGAGCCCAAAGGGTAAGCGTGATAACCCCCTTCAGCGCATCCGACATACTGATCCCAGAACTCTTCGGCGGTTTCTTCTTTTCTTTCAAACAGTAATTTTCAAACGTACTGACGATGCGTATATTTACAAAACGGTTTGAATAAATTACAAGATAGTCCTTTAAAAGAACCAAACTTTAAATTTAGTTTTTATTTAATTTCTAAAGAAATGCATAGACCATTATGACAGTGTCATTGTTGAATTTATTAACCTTTATTCGAAAATCGTGAGATGCGGTTTGGTGTGATGTAGGTTTCCGAAAAACATTGTCTTTATCGTGCCAACGTTTCTAGCTATATTGAGATCATCTTCAGGGCCTGGGATTTACGAACATTGTTTAAATTAAACAAATACATGTAGGAGTGGAAAAAAGTGAATTTATACAATGCAAAAAAATATTTGTTATATTCAATCAAAGTATTTCTACTCTCTCAAAGTGTTTATTAATGTTACTTCATTATAATTATAACATTATTTTCTAAAATGAGAGCACTAAAAATTTTACATCTTTACTTAACAGTAATAAATATATAAATATATACATGCAGATAGATAATAGCTGTTCAATAAAATACTTCCAAAGTTTAAAAAACAAGTTAAGAATTTTTTCATATTCATTAAACATCAGGAAACAATTTTTATTTTTTCTAAATTGCAAACACTATCAGTATCGGCGATCTAAATTTTGTAATTTTCCATAATTTAATAGACCAATTTACTTGCCCAATTCGTAATTTGAATTAACTAACCAATTATCCACAGAAATCGCAATTTAAAACAACCGATTTTGTTGTGATCTTCTTGCAACTAAAATCCTAAAAACAATCTTTGACCAAGCGACCTTCAGAAATGAGCAGTGCACTTTTTTGGACAAATTTCAAATTAGGAGTTCAATGTACTTTTTCGTATTACATTCAGATCAACTTGTTTTTTACAAATTTAGAAAACCCTAAGGCCAATATAAAAAAATTAGAATATATTTTAATTTAGATTTACATTGGACTAACTTTATTCATAAATAATTATATTTCATTATCAATACGACTGAACAATTAGCACATGACCCATATTCAGATATTTTTAAACAAGGAATTGTTCACACTATATTCTGTGCTTATGAATCCATCTTGTTCTCCTACTTGCATTGATGAAATTTCGGGTTTTAGGTTTCTCTTATATATTTCTCTGTTAAGTAAGAATTCTCATAATTAAAATATCCAAAAACGCGCCGCGGGAACACGATAATCTACGCTTCTGCGTCCTTGTAAGTTTCATCAAGCTTTCTAATAAAAATTGTAAATTGCCACATTTGAAACAGCTGAAAGTTAGCAGAAAAAAAAAATCTGTTCGTCAAATTGCACAAACTAAAGGTCTTCTTTTTCCTCTGAAATTTATGAAAAGGATCAGGAAAATCTTCAGATGTCCGACCTTGAAATAAAATTGATGAAGTCTTCTTTCACTTTGAACGAAGGACGTAAATCTAACCAGCGCATGCCTTCTTTAGCTATGGGCAAGAGGATAAAGGTCGGGTCGGGTTTGTAGGTTTATGGCTGGAGAGAATTTAACGCCCTCAGATACGAGACTACAATTAGGCCAAAATAACCTTTTTATAAAATTTCCACGAAACTGCAACCATCACTGGCAAGGAATCGTATATTCTAGTTTTACAAAAGCAAAACAAAAAGAAGATTTTATTAAATTTTCTTTACTTTTGCGTTTGAGTTCAATGGTTCAGTTAGCTGTTTTTCAGTTTGTACTTAGGATTTCTTTTTTATCTTATCAGACCTGTTAATAATTTTTTGGGATTTTATTATACGCACATATCTGTTTCACAATTTATTTCTTTGTAAGATAGATCGGTTTTCCCTACATATTTTTTTTTTATCTAGCGACTGTCTTGAGTATATGAACTAACAGAGAAGCTGGAGGACAAAAAATTTTATAAAACAGCGATTTTGGCTTTGTTAGAAAAATGAAGAATCTAAAATAAAATCATAGTGTACTATCAATTACCAAAAAAAATTAGCACGACAAAAATGTGAAAATGGGATCTATATATTTTTTGACTTCTTGTGTATTATTTTGAGATGCCTGTGTATAAACGGAATTTTAAATTAAAATTTAAATTTATTTTCTCATAAATCAACTAAAAAAAACAATATTAAATGGGAAAATTTACGAGCAGGCCTAATTTAAAATTTTAATAATATTCCTACCCAAATTAACTCATTTCAATATATATTTGTTTACGATTTACCAATTTACTAGTGTAAATTTTATTTTAAAATCCAATTTAATGTAAAAAAACATCCTTTTTTGGCCTAGTCTGACTAAATTTTGTAATTGGCAAAACTTACTTGTGAAAACAGAAGCATCTTTCACATTTTCCATTTTATAATCAAATCTGATAATTATTTTGCATTGTAATCTACAATTACAGAGAGCAACGACGAAATTTTGCTGGGGGTTCTATTTTTAATGTCCTTTTGAATTTTTACGGCCTAGTTTCAGTTCATTCTCTGAACTGAAACTAGACTGATTTTTTTCTGATTTTTTCCTTTTCTCTTCTAATTAAACAAACTGAATTAATGACATGGAAAATCCAGAATACAATGCGATTGAATATTCGTTATCGACTTAACGCTATTGTTAATTACAGGAAAGTAGAGAAGGAAAATCCTTAAGTTTAATGATTGTCTTAAGAATAGAGAATGATTTGTTAAAAATAATTAACCTTTTATTACTATTAATCTAATTCTCATTAAGAAATACCCCGTTTTCACAGTTTCCAATTAATTGGTTTTTAATTTATTGGTTTCCATTCATTCACACATTAATCAAATCTAAATTTATAATCTTCAATTTATTTGGTTAAATCCTTAGGTTAAATTAGTTTGAAACAATTTAAACTAATTGAGAAAAACAAACTTAATGATCTTCAAAACAAAACGTGTTCTAATGCAATGTGTACAATTATTTTTATTTTTAATATAAGTTTTTTCTCCCCTGTACCAAAAAAATATAAGTCAAATACATATTTTTTTCGTTTAATGTAGCAAGATTGCTCATGTTCTTATTACATATACGGACATAAATTTAAGAGTTCGTTCGGTCCATTTAACTGTTGCATTTAATGTTAATGTCAGCGAAAGCATTGCGATTAATCCATTCACCCTTGGTCAGGGGTGTCGTAAGTGGCAGTCGAGCCACCACCTACTCTTGTCTCACTATCATTTTTATCGTCCTTGTACATTCTCTAACCTTCGCGGACGAGCATTCCTCGCTTCTTCTGGCCATCCTCTCTCACGCCTTATGGCGGACGATGTTGCATAAACTTTTTATGCTTGCAGTCAGGCTTATGTCGCACCGTTTCGACAGGATCCGTGCAGGCCAAGCGAACTTTTCAATCGTGTCCAGGGGCGCGTTTTTGAAATTTGACGTATTGGCGAACAAGTCGGGATCCGCCTATTTTGGCTCGTTTGCCGTTCAAGTGAATGATGAAACACACATCCTCAAAAAATGGAATAGAAATAAAACTTTTCATTGTAAAGCACAAATTTTTGGAGTTAAATTGTTGTATTTATAATTAAAGCATAGCAATATCTCTCTTCAACACTGCGATAAAACTAGTAAATTACGAATGGGAATAGCACACATTTCATAGTTTTTGCCAATTCAAATGTCATTGTCCTTCTATCCTCCTTGTTTGGATATGTACGTCGATATGAGATCATTGTTTTTCTATTTTTATGGTTTGTTAAAAATTTATTGTCATAAAACCCCTTCTCTCTCTTTCTCTCTGTCTCTCTCTCTCCCTCTCTCTCTCTCTCTCTCTCTCTTTCTATCTATCTATCTATCCATCCATCTATCTATCTATCTTTCTTTTATACCTTTTATACAGTTTTACAAAATTAATTGCCAATTCAAATTGTAGTCTCCCTCTATCCTCCTTGTATGGATATGTACGTCGATATATTATATTATCAGATTATTGTTTTTCTGTTTTTACTTTTTGTTAATAATTTATTGTAATAACACCCCCGATCTCACTCTCATTCTCTCTCTCTCTCTCTCTTTCTTTCTTTCTACCTCTACCTCTCTCTCTGTCTCCTCTTTCGATCTCTCTCTCTCTCTCTCTCTCTCTCTCTCTCTCTCTCTCTCTCTCTCTCTCCCCCCCCTCTCTTACCTCCTCTCTGTCCTCATACACACATATACTTAGGCTTTTTATGATACAATTTGACTGTTTTTCTGTTTACCTACATTTATTTAATTTCTTAATTTCTTTCATTTATTTGTCATACATTCTTTCCAGTCTCTTTCTGCTTTCTTCCTTATGCTCTTTTTATAATTTATTTATTTATACAATTTTCTTCTCTTTCTGTATGCTTGTTGGTGATCCTCTGTATTTCCGTCGCATTTCTATTGAATTACGTTTGAAGTACTAGTGTGAGTTCATTTTACACTTTCCTTATAGTCCCTTTTCATGAAATATAGTTTCTCATGTATTTTTGGGTTGTTTTGTTGTATCTTTTTTCAGCCAGACGATTTTTATGTCCCAAATTTATGAAATTTGTCGTCTATC